TACTTATAACCCCAATTAAGCGACTTATAACCGTACTTACTAAGTCCCATGATCCTCCAAGTAGAAGGGATCTGCGAGGCTCCAGCTCACGGGGAGGGCATGAATTCGTCTCCATCTCTTTCTGCCACGCCTGCAAAGGCTCGGGGTTTCAACTGAACCTGCTTTCTGTCCGCAGCCTGCGGTTAAACTTCTATTGCTTGCGATTGAACCTCATGACCTGATACCGTGAACCGCAAAAAATCCCAAGCCTTCAACCTTGAACCCTCAAGCCTAAACAAAAAAAGAACAAAACCTTACTAACCTTAAACCTTCAGCTCTAAACCCTGCCTTGCTTTAGGAGGGAATCTGGCCTCGAGCTCTTTCCGCGCCTTCTTCGCGGCCCTAGGGACGCAGAGCTTTGGGCCTTTCTTTTCAGCTTTGGGGTTCTTGGGTTTGCCGCCTTAGGCTGGTGGTGTTGGACTTTGGGGCTTCTGGGGCTTTGGTCTGGGGTCCGAGCTTTAGGGGGGACGGTTACGACTGTGACGACAACGAACCCCATCGCTGCAGCCGCGGCCCCCGTGGAGGCAAGGGCGGCGACAAGGTCGGCGACGCTAAGCGACTCTAAAGATGACAGCCCAGGCGCTTGCCCGTGTTGGCCTCCACTTGTGCCGGCACACTGCCGTACCCGCCTGTACAGCTGCAGCAGCAGCAGTAGCGTGGCAGGAGTGGGGTAGGAGTCGTTGTCGGTGGTGGTGGTGGTGGTGCAGTACCGGTGGCATTCGCACCAGTGCTAGTAAAGGATTGATTGGTACTGCGGCTCAATGATTGCAATGGTCACTCCACTGTAACATCGGAGCAGGGCTTTAGGGGTTCGGCTTAACCTCAGCTCTGTTCATTCTATGAGGACGCATGTCCGTCAAGCTCAACTGTGGAGTCTACGGTCTTATAGTACGAAGGGGCATTATGGGGTGGATCTTGCAGCATATATCTGACGCTGGGAACCGAGTGAGCAGAGTTGAGAGTCCGGACCCCGCCAAAGACCCGCAGACTCCCAAGGGCCTATGAAAAGGTTGTCGGAAAACGCGGTGGCCAGAAGAGCCTGCTCGGTTTCTCTGGCCCACTGCAAGGAAGGGGCGTGCAGGGCATCTGCTGCCACTGTGACATGCATTTAACAAGCCGCGCGAAGACCTACTCTTGGAAGCCACCATGAATGTCCAAAAATCCACGACGAAAACTTAAAGACTTAATGCATACATGCCAGCAGAATGGTTAACACGGTGACGCCACCAAAGCCCCAGAAGCTTGTCCGCGAAATAGACTATAGGATTTGGGTCTGGATTTTGGAAGCTTTCTGTGCTTGCACGGAATTGACATGTCTTCCCATTCCGGGTCGCCCGCCTTGAGAAACCTTGCATCGGCTTCAAAGGCCTTGGTGAGCCAGGAAGCACCCACACTGCGCTGCAGACCTCTGCACGTCCTGAAGACCCACACATCCGTGGCACTGCCCAAAGCTGAGCACAGGACACCTCTTGCAATTTCTAAGAAGTACAACTTTTTGTATCGTAATTGCTTTTTACGTTGCGATTGTAATCGTAGTCGTAGACCTGCAGTAGCCAAAACCAGAACTCAAGGACACTGTGCCTCCTCGTGTCGGAAGGCCTTCCAATCCTGCGACCAAGAGACGCCCCGTTTGAAGGACTGCGCAGGAAAAAACTACCGGGATTGGAGTTTGGGATGTCTTTTGGAAACTTCAAGCCACGAAAATTCGAGTGCCCGGCCCGAGATGCTACCCCCAAAGCCCAAATTTCTCCGAACCCCGCCTTCCACTCGATGCCGGCCAGGTCGCCCTTCTTGTTGACTACATAGCCGAGACCCCGCAGCAGCCTGGCGGCAAGGCTTCGGGCTTCTGGGATGGCTCGCGAAGCGAGGACCCCCAAGCCGGCGCTTTCAAAGCGCAAGAGGTTTTGGCTGTGGGAAGGCAACTCTATATATATCATATATAGATTATATGTGTATATTATATATATATATATAATTATATAACTTATAACTAAACATGCAAACTGGTAGTCAAATGCCGTCTCCTGACATGATGGTGACGAGGAGGAGGCGGATGCTTATGCTGCTTGCGACGATGAAGCGGAGGATGGCGACGATGGCGGCGATATTCAGGACGAGGATGAGAACGAGGATCATGCTAGACTGGGGACTAGGGGACCGCTGCTAGTCTTCGCGGTTGTGCCGCTGGTAACGGTTTTTCAGCAGTCGCGGACGAACGGCTGCATCTCGGAAGCCCTGAGAAAGCGAGCCGTCTGGCACTCGCTGAGGGAGCGCTCGGCTCGGGATTTCGGGTCCGTGGCACGGTAGGCCCGAAGCCTTCAAGGAAGCTTCGAGCTTTCTCTAGTCGGATTCTGAAAAGTTCTGGGATATTCTTGCGGCGAAGGGATGTCGTTGAGGCTTTCTACAGTGCACCACGATAGATTTAGCATGGCTGGGATCGACCCTTCTACAGGGTGCCATTGATGTGTTCAACGGCTTCAGGGCTCCGGGGTCTGGAGCAGAGTTCAACAAGCTCTCGGGCATTGAAATCCCAGAATTAAGAACAACCCAGGAGATGGGCCAGAACTCTTGATGGGAATAAGGCCTGGGCCTAGGCATGAAGTATACTACAAGCATCGTCATTGAAGCAACAGGGAGGAATGGGTATTACCGACTCCATCGCGGACCGATGCTGCAGCGCAGCCCCCAAACTCAAACTCTGCGAGAGCTTGGGCCCCCGGCGCCAGGTCCACGACATGCGCGACCATGTGATCCATCCTGGGCTGGCAAGATGACAACCTTCCCCTGTCTTGCAGGATGCGAAGCTGAGAGGATTGCTGCAGTCGTATTTGGACACGTCGAAGACCCCACCCCCCCGCGTTTTGTCGCTTCCGCTTTTTCTCCCCTCGCTTGGCCTCTTTGGCCCTCCGAAGCCTGGCCCGGGTGCGCTGCAGAACCCGGTAGGCTTCGGCAAAGAGCGGCAGACGCCGTCGAGAGCGCAGCGCGTCAAGGAAGGATCGGAGGCAAAGGACACTGAGGTCCAGCTCGGAATGCCCCGGCACACCTTAGAGACTTCGCACTACCCTAATATTATATTTTTATATTATTATATTATTATTACTATTATATTATGATTACATTATTACCGCCGGCAGACAAATTCAATTTGCTTGCTGCCGCGGCGCTTGCACGTGCCGCGGCCGCGCGCCAAGCAGCCCTCCAGACCAGTCGCAGCATGTGCTTTGTGACGAAAGCAGGCGACACATTGCCCAAGTGACTGCTTCCTCGCCTTAGGAGGAGCCAGATGAAGCGCTGAGCACAGAGCTTGCAGACGCTGGAAACGTTGCTTTGCACACAGGCGTCGGAGTTCAATCGCGGGTCGACGAGAAGTGGCTGGAGCTTTAAGTCCAAGAAGACCATCAGCTTGGACCGGACGACGCCCTGCCAGGTAGAGCCAGTGCTCAAGTTGAAGGCCCGACGCCTGGAGCGGTGGGTGATGGCCAGGGTGTCCCGGATTTGTGCCGGCTTGGACGTGCCGATGTTCAGCAAGCCCTTGTCGGGGCGCACACAGAGACCTGCCCAGGGAACCTCCAAGACATCGCTGCGCCGCCTCTTGGCTTGCCTCGCCTCGAAGCGTGGTGACAGGTCGGCTTCGTCTTCCGCCGCGGACACACGCATAGGGAAGTTGCTTTTGCACTTCCGCAGGTTCAGCTCGCCTTGGAAGGCATTCTCCTTCGAGGCCAGGCCCGTCAAGAACCTGCAGCAAGGCTCCGGAGTGCCTGCGCAGACGTAGAGAAAGTCATCCACCAAGCGGAAGAAGAAGGCTTCCTCCTTGAGATCTTGAAGAAGCGGTGAGGGAAGGGCCGCATCGCCGGCCCCCATGTGCAGTGCACACAAGAAAGGCGAAAAGCGACCTCCCTGAGGGATGCCCCTGAGAAGGAACCTTTGAGTGTCCTGGCTCCTCTCGGGCTGCGTGCCCAGGGTCGCTGCAGAGCCCTGCACACCACTCCTCAGCGTTGCGATCACATCGGAGAGCCGCAACACCTCGGAACCCGAGGGCTGGATGATCAACGGCTCCTTGCGCAGGGCAGCGGGGCAGCGCTCGGAGAGGAGCAGCGCGTCCAGCCTCTCCTCCTCGGCCAGCGCTACGTCCAGCAAGCGATTGGATTTCCCAACCGACGCACTCGTTCCGAGGGCCCGCTTTGCTGAGACCTTCGTGACCCTGTAGCGATGCGACAAGGGCAAGGCTGCCACCTGGCTGAGCAAAGAATCATGTCCAATCCGGTCGTAGCAGTTGCGCAGATCCGCCACAGCCACGAAGAGCTTTACCTGCGACAGATCCTGGCCCCTGCGGCGAATGGAGCCTTTGAGTTTCTCGAAGGCCGTCACCAGCCTGGCGTGAACCTCGTTCTGGCTCAGCAATGACCGGCCAAGGACATTTGGGTGCGAGGCACGCAGATGTGCGAGCACTGGCAGAACCTGGCGCTGCACCCTGGGAGGTACTTGTGCTTGCTGTGATGCCCACTTCCTCGGTTTGCTCGAAGCCTAATGTCTCTCATGGATACTGGTACAGTGTGCGTGCCGGGAATTTAGAACAATTCTTGGGGCAAGATTGCCACGCAATCTTGCAATCTTGGTCTCGCCGACTAGTTTACTTTTTAGACCAAGATTGCCGAGCAATCTTGCAATCTTGCTCTCCAAAAGGTAAACTAGTCGGCGAGCAAGTCGGGTAAAGGGGGCAAAGGGGGGGAACAAGATTGCAAGCAGTCTTGCAATCTTGGTCTCCAAAAGGTAAACCAGTCGGCGAGCAAGTGAGGCAAGATGACCAAGATTGCCAAGATTGCTTGGCAATCTTGCTCCAAATTCCTGGCCCAATGTATTGGTACAGAAAGAGCTGAGGCAGCTACCAACCCGCCGACAAGATCATTCTGAACAGCACCCTAGCCACGCCATGGTCACAATGGGCCGCAGGCCACGCCTCTTGGGCACCCAGCGAACCGTCGGCGGCTTCAGCCACTGGCCTCGGCTTCAACCGAAATTTGGACATGTTCCGGCATCAGCCTCTGTCTCTGTCTCCGTCTGCAGGACCTCAAGGAGGGACCATGCACCCTCCCAGATAAAAGGGCAGCGTGTCCCGTCTTGTCCCCGTCGGCCCAAGACTGCTCTATTCTCCCACGCGGATTTTGACTGGCGGACTCCTCGACCCAACTCAGCCTTACGCACGCCTCCCTTCTTCTGCCACCCGTTAACATGGCTCTGTCACAGTCTCTCTCTCTCTCTCTCTCGCTCTCCCTGCTCTGGAATTCAGGCTAACGTGGCAAAGAGCAGAACCGGCTGACGCGACGTCCGGTCATCCTGGTCTTGTGATCTTGACCTCACTTACTGACTTACTCCCAACGACCGCAACTAGTTGAATGATCCGAGGTGCCCGCAGATCTTCGCGACAGGGGCGTCGGAGGCGTCGTCCGGCTGGGCTGGCTTGTTGGGCTTTGGTCCCGCATGCAGAGGTGCAGGAACCCACAGTCGGCTCGTGTTCTGATGAAGTGCCAAATGTGCTTCCGAAAGAAGACCGTCTGCGTCCCACAGGGCTCCGCCTCCGTGGCGTAGAAATGCTCCCGAAGGAGGGGCACCGCCACGTGCGCCAGCAAAAAGTAGCAGAGCCGTCCCAGTGCCTCGCTCATGGCCGCCTTGTCCGCCAGCTGTCCCGGCCGCCCCGGCTGGTTTTTGCTCAGAAGGGCATCTTGGAAGGACCGCACAGAGAGGCCCTGCAGGACGTTGTGCAAGGAGAGCTCCTCCCCACGCCGGAGGTAAACAAAGCTTCGGAGGAGATCGCAGAAGCCGTGCCAGTTCTTGGAACCCAGAAGGCCTTTTGCGGCCTCCCGGCCCCCAAGCAGCTCCCTGAGGCTGGAGATTATGAAGCTGGCCACAGCCCGGGATGGCTGTGCACAGGAGGCTGCAGGGAAGTTCTTCATGAAGTAGATTTCGGCTTCTCCCCCGGTACAAGTGTGGTCCTCACCTTGACTCAGTCCATCCCGGCTGCAGAGGCACCTCAAACCCATCATGCGCTTCTTGAGCCCAGTCTCGGGCTGGCGCTTCCGCTTCGGGTTCTTGGCCTCGAAGGTCTTCAAGATCATCATCTCGTGCTTTGCCGGGCAGCAGCTCCCCAGGATGGCCTGGAACTTCACTTTGGAGCTCTGCTGCAGCAAGGCGAGCACTGGCTCAATCAGGGCGTCGAAAATCGCGCGGGTGAAGCGATGTGAGCTGGTCCTGCTCGGTTTTGCTTCCTCCCTTTTGCCCTCGCCCTTTCGCGGGCCACGCCGCCGCCTCTCATGGCGGTTGCCACGAGGACGAGCTTCTTGGCGCAAGTCGGGCGAGGGCAAGCTGCAGAAGAGCTGTGGGGACAGTATCCAGCTGAGCAGGCACTCGGCCCCTTGCCGACTTGCGGGAACCCGTCGCACTGCGCTCCTCAGCGGCAGCCCTGCGCGAGCGGCGAAGCGGCAGGAGTAGAAGATGCGCCGCTCCACGAAGATGGATCCGGGACGCCAGCTGTGCGGCTTTGTGGCAACCGGCCCGGGGTTCACCTGCGGGGCGCTCGCAGCCACGGCCATGAGCTGCCTTGGCCGGCCTGCCAGCTGCAGCCAACGAGATCCAGGAGGCACATGGAGGTAAATCTCGTGAGCGAGGAGCCGGAAGAACCGACCGTCGCCCAGGAGTCGGTGCAGCGACTGCCAAGGGCCCGACTGAAGGATCTGCAGGGAGGCAGGGGAGTTCAGGCAATCCATCTGTCCCTTGATCTTCGGTTGCATGTTCAGGGCATGGTGCACCATCGGCAGCAGCTCCTGAAGTGTAAACTGACAGACACCAAGCCTTGGGGGGGTCGCCCTCAATTGCTGCGGCATGCGAAGAGGTGGAGATGCCAGCCTCGCCACAAGCCTTACATTCCCAAGCAGCTCAGAGAGCTCTAGCGGTAAAGCAGCAGCAGCCCGCTCGAAGTTCTTGCCCTCTTCCTCGTGGGCGGCCGCGACGAAGTCGCGAAGTTGCTTGGCGCTGCCAAGGAAACTGTCGATCTCCAGCCGTGAGCCCTGACCCGCCCCATCTTTCGGGTTCCTCCTTGGCGGGTCTCTTGAGACAACTTACATTGGTTTTTGTCGAGCAGCTCCAAAGATCAATCCGAAAAACAGCTCCGACAACGACAAGAAGTGAAACCCGCCACAGAAATGGCCTCCAGCCCGTGTCTTCCCCTTTTGCGGGCTGGGCTTCTGAGCAGGATTCTGGTTCTCCGGCCTAGGAATCCCAGGCCGCCTCCTCTTCCGGGCCATGGCACTCGGTTCTGCCAGGCTTCACTTGGCCCCTTTCCTAATAATGGTCATACAGAAAATAGGAGGGATAGTAATAGCAATAGCAATCGCAATCAAAGATAAGAATAGTAACAATATGATGATGCTGATGATGAAGATGCTCGTCTTCCTCATCATACAACCATGAGTCAATACAGTGAATATGTAGGTATGACAACAATCGGAAGCATGGAATGCCTCCCTGCTCAGGTTCGTCTTGCATCTCTGCATGAAGGTCTCCAGACAGGAAGCTGCGGAAACCGAAGGCACATGTCCGGACAAGCAAAGCTGCCAGAAAGCCAGAGCCAGAAACCGAGTGCTTGGCCTGCCCCGAGACAGGGAGTAGTGAAACGAGAAATTGGAGGTGTGCCTGCCACGCACCGCACGTGCAAGCCCAGTGGTATCATGGCACCCATTGAGCCTTCTTCTGGCCCATAGAACTTTGTCTTTGTCACCCCACCTGCAGCTCATGAGCTGAAGGCTCCCAAGCGAATGATGGCTGTTCTCAGCATGAAGAGAGGCTCTTGAGAGTCATCTTCCTCCACCGACTACTCTTCCTCTAAGCCTCGGGCACATAATGGTTTTTGTGAAACTCCGCCAGCCATTCCAAGAAGAGCTGCCGCTGCATCAGGGGCTCGGAGAGCTCCTCGGCATGTGGGGACGGGGCTCAGAAAATGCGGCTCTGACTCTCGCGGTTGTCATGGGAGGGTGCTTATGTTGAGGGTCCGAGGGTCCCGCTTATTCAGTACCCTTAGTACCGTTCAATTCCTAGCTAGGAAACCATGACTTCCTTTAGTCTTACTACTCATGCATTCTGGGCAAGGTGACGATTGCATGCAATGTAGAATGCAGGACTCCTCCGAACCAACACTTACGAGTATGGGAGTTTCCGAAAATAAGGGGTACCTTATTTTGGGGTCCTTATAATATGGATCCTATTATTTGGGGCGCAAAATTAGGGTCCCCTATTTTCGGAAACCCCCTTATCCCGATACAAGCCGCAAGAAGAACTCTGAACCGAGAGCGAGGCCCCTCCATCGAAAAGCAGCCTGAAGGCATGTCGGGAGTTTCCGAAAATAAGGGGTACCTTATTCTTGGGGTCCTTATAATAATACGGCACCTATTATTTAGGGTACCCCAAAAGGGACCATAATTTTGACAACTACCCAATGTCGGGACATCAAGAAATTTCGGGTCCTGCATTGAGGGCATGTGCGCAAGTCAAGAAGGAGTAGGTACCTCAGAACTGCCTCGAGGGGCATTAGGATCAGCTTTGTAAGAGGAATCCCCGGCCTGCAGTTACCCTAAACCCTAAACCCTAAACCCTAAACCCTAAACCGTATCGACAGTTCGAGCCTCTAGAGCCTCCAAACCACCCCCGCTCCCCCACCCCTTACGCCCAATATGCCGCGGGACACAAAGACCCGACCACTCCAAAAACCCCGACACTGCGAATGGGAAGGAAGCCTCACAATAGGATCAGGGGATCCGACCTAAACCTCACAAACAGTCAGACTGCTGCTCCAAGCGACACAACACAGGGTACGGTATGTAGATGGTGGGTATGGGTATGTCCTTCACTGCTCTTCCTTGCCGTCCTTCCGCTTTTTCCACGGCACTGCGGCTTCGCACCTCGCCGAGGCTGCTGAGCGCAGGCGCTCCACGAAATCGGCTTCCTGCACAAGGGCCCTGGAGTAGAATAGACCAAAATGCCAGAAATGCAGTATAACTTGACATGATATGATATGGTATATCAAGACATAACATAGCACAACATAAGATCGCGTAAATAGCATAACCTTGCACCGTGTACTCCAGTTGAGTCTAATGTTACAGAACATAATCTGGTATTATATGACATCCTTGTAATATACTCATAGCCTGAGACGTGTGGCACAAGATGGCTTGACAGCGACAGCGACCCAGGCGTCACGGGGCACTTTCTTTAGTGGGATTCAAGTTGGGCTACGCGCTTTCAATGGACACGATGATTGAAAAGCCGCATCCTCCCGCATGAAGAGAGGGCTTGGCATCGAGAAAGCATCCAAGGAGCTCAGCACCGACCTTCATGGGACTTTTGGGTTCGGAGTTGATGTAGGAGATGTTCTTGCTACTTCCGCAACCGGCCACCCTATGCCCAAACACTGAACTCTAAACCTCCCCTGCACCCCCCCCCCTCCCACCACACACCCACACACACACACACACTCACACACACACACGCACCAAAACAAAACTGCTTGGTTCGGCAGCACAGTGAGCTCCCGGCGCCAGGACCACTGCATCGGCCATGAGGCCGAAGTGGGCACCCAGCCAGACGAGTCTAGAGAGCCTCGTGGGCTGGGCAGCTTGACTTTCGGGTTCGGCAAGGGCTGAGAGGAACCCCTACACCTCCTTGGGCTCCGGGCTTCAGGTCGAGGGGAAGCTGCAAGCACAGCCGCCCCAGAGCTGTGATGTACGCGTCCTGCATCGAGCATCTGAGCGTGCAGCAAGCACAGCCACACCCCGAGGCAAACTCGGCCTCTTCCGTGTGGATTGGGGGTGACGTTTGGACTGGTCGCGGGATGAGCCCTCAAGCACTCTGCTGGCATACTGACCCAAAGCCTCAATCCTAAACCCTAAGGAAATCCTAAACTCCAAACTCTTTCAACACATGTAGACCACGCGTGGAACTCAGCAGCATTTAAGACCAGCCCCCGTACGGCACAGGACGTAGGCCCCTTGCTTCTCGTAATTGCGACCCCCCAAACAGTGGAACACCACGCCTGCTTTGCTCTCCGAAGTCCGAAAATGTGCACAACACAATGCCCAGAGGACATTGATGAAGGTGGGAACTCCGAAACAGGTTAGGGTGATCCTTACCCTTTATTGCATGGCACAAACACCCGCCCACACAGCCTAGGACATCCACCGCGGGAGAAGGAAGGAAGGAATGAAGGAATGCAGGAATGAAGAAATGACAGGAACCAAGGAATGAAGGAATGTGTTCATATATATATAGATATAGATATAGATATAGATATAGATATAGATATAGATATAGATATAGATATAGATAAAGATAAAGATATTATAGACATACATAAACATATAGATACAGATATAGATCTGGGTAGTTCCCGAGATCAGGGTCCCTGGTCCCTTTTATAAAGGTGCCGTACAATTTTAGTGACCTAAAAAGGAGCCCTAATTTAGAGAACTACCTATATAGATATAGAAACTCATAATTACAGATATAGGCACAGATATAGATGCCGATAGAGATAAAGATATAAACTGAGATGGAGACAGAGGCAGAGATATTAGATATTACTCTCAGCATCCCCCAACCTCCGAGCACTCGGAGATGGCACCCAGCTCGGCATTCCGCTCCCGAGCCAGCTCCACGTTTCTCAGATCCGGCGCCTGTTCGAAACGGATCACCGAGTTTGGAAAGGGTCATCGTCGTCGTGACGGTGTTAGCTGACTTCGTCATACCCTGACGGCCATCGAAACGCCACGGACAGTACCTGTGTATGCTCTCGATGATTCGACGGAGCCGATCAGCTTCATGTCTCTCTGGCTTCGATGTTTCGGGCTAGCAGGGTCGGGCAAGAAGCAAGACTTGAGCTCCAAAGTCTTCTGATTCTTGGCGGGCGGGTGCGCATTTTTTTGGAACGGCTCCATGTATGGAAAACTGCTGCTATGGGGCACTCTCTTCAAACGGCGAGCGCTGTGTACTTACGACACACTGTTGCATAAGGGGAAAAGTTACTGAACCCGGACACCACAGACACCTTTGGCGTCGG